TATGGGGATAGGGCAGGGGCAAGGGCCTGGGTGGGATGATCTTTGGAGGGTCGGTGTGGACTTGATGGGCCAAAGGCCTGCTTTTGCACTTGTGATCTTGTGAAAAAGTGGCTGAATGGGTTAGCAAGTGTTAGGAAAATGGTCAAGTAATTACCAATGAAGCCATCTGACACTATGCCCCTCCTCTTTGGAGAAGTGAAAAAAGATGACATTTCAGAATTGAAGATGCGTTTCAGGTGGATCACATGATTCATGAAAAGGCTATTCCATCCATTCCAGAAAAGCACTGTTGCCTATATTCATGAGAAAGAGCGGATGAGTGAAGGCAGCTGCAAAAAGTGGATCAAAGAAGTGTTAAATTTGGGACCAGGAGGACTACAGAAATTTAAAATTTTGCTCATCTGAGATATGTTTAAATTCATCTGAGATATGTGATGTGAGATGACCCACACCAATACGACAGCTGTTCCTGGCCTTCTGACAAACGTTGTTCAGCCTTTTGGGTGTGCGTATGAATAATACTCTCAAGGACAGTATTTGAAGTATAGCTCAATGTTGTATCGTGCAGAAAAGTTCACTCAAGGTAGAAATATGTGAACACCCTCACTAGCAACTTTATGCCAATGGGTCATAGATGTGTGAACTGAATTTGATCCAAATATTGTCGAAAAATGAATTCTAATACTATGGAATAAATACATTTGACAATATTTAGGATAATTGCTTGTGGAATGTTGATGACAAATTTATCAACACTACCCTTGATTATATTAGTGATGAAGTTGAGGAAGATCCAAATTATGATATCAGACAACTAGGCATTTGGGATGAATTGACTAGTGGTTTAGATATGTTCAAGCACTTCTGAAAGATTTCAAAATGTAGGTTACAACAGAACACATTCAAAACAATATTTTACGTAAGAACATTCAGACTTCACGATTGTCAACACTACATCAATGTAAACATTTGGTCACATATTCTCTTCCAATTGGTAGGTTTGCAGAAGGATGTTCCTAATATCTGCCAGGAATTAACTCATGAATCAGAGGAATTATTGTTGCACTAATGAGCCTGAAGATCTGGGAGAGGAAGAAAAAAAGAAGAATGTTTTTAAGGGAAAGATAGATTTTTGAACAGTAAAGGGTTTAAGGGTTATGGTGAGCGGACGGATAAATGAAGCTGCGTCCACGGTGAGATCAGCCATGATCTTATTGAATGGTGGAGTCAGCTCAAGGCTCCTATTTCTTATGTTCTTATGTAAAAGCATGTCCCTATGGATAGAGAAAAGACCATCCCCTTCAGCTGAGCAACACAAGGACATAAGAAGTAGGAACAGGATGAGGCCTGTTCTGCCTTTCAATAAGATCTGGCCTTTCAATTGCCCTCTGGACAATTAGGGATAGATAATAAAGGCTGCCTAGCCAGCGACATCCTCATCCTGCTAATGAATAAAGAAAAGAAAGATCATGACTGAATTGAATTTGCCTTCAATCCAACTCTCTATCTGCTCCCACATCTTCTTTCTCTCCAATAACTATACCTCTTTATCTCAACCCTTGGATATGTTCAAGAACTCAAACTCCACAGATTTCTGGGGTTAACAATTCCAAAGATTCACAACTGCCTGCGATACAAAATTCTCCTCATCTCCATCTTCAACGAGCAATACCTTAATCTTTGAGGAGGCACCTTATCAGATGCATTTTGGAAATCCAAACATTACATCTACTGCTTTCCCTTTACCCACCCAAAATGTTACATCATCCAAGAACTCAAAACAAATTTGTCAAACACAATTTCCATTTCATTAAAATATTTTGAGTCTACCAGACTGAATTATGATTTTCTAAATGTCCTGCCATTACTTCCTTCATATTGGATTCCAAAATGCACAGAGTGACAAATACATTTTTCCAAAGTTTACTGCATTCTGCCTCTTCTTTTCTTCAATAGGGGTCATTGGGACTTTTCCAGAATCGAGCAAATTTTGAAGGGTTCCAAGCATTGCATCCACTTTGATCCTGGCATCCAGGCCATCAGGTTTAGGTCAGATATAAGAGATACTGTTCTAAAAAGAACAAAGCTTAGGGAGGATAGATGGTACATGAAAATATTGAAGACAATTTCCAGCCACGTGACTGAGATATGGTTAATTATAAGGATGATCTGTAATTCATTGCAGGAAATACTCTATGGCCTGCAGAATATACAAGATACACTGATAGATTTTAACATATTTCCTCACAGATAGATTTTAACATATTTCCTCACAGAGTCTGAGACATTCTAACTTTCACAGAAGTCTAAAACTTTCTTAACCATTAGATTCTGGTGACTATGTGTAGGACAGTAACACTTGGGTTAGATATTGATAGAGTGGACTATCTCACAAAATGCTAGATTAATTAGATTTGTTCCTGTACGTTTAAAACATTTTGCCTACCAAGTTATTGGAATTGGAAAATGGAAGAAACATTGCATTCACCATCTTAAACATTCATTTCTTCCACCACAAACACTAATGGCTGCATTATATATCATTTTCAAGATGTACTAATAAAATGCATCTAGGGTCCTTCAAAAGCACACTCAAACTAGCAGCCCCTACCATTTAGGAGAACAAGGGCATCCAATGCAGGAGAATACTACTTCTTGCAAGTTCACTTCCAATTCATTTATCATTCTGGCTTGTAAATATATCACAGTTTTTCCATCATTGATGGGTAACAATGTTGGAATTCCTTACTAATACAGTACTGGTGTGAAATCGTATCATACAAACTGCTGTGGTTCAAGAAGGAGGTTCACTCCGATTTTCTGAAAGGCAATTAGTATTGGGCAATGGCCACATTCCCTAAATCAATAAGAAAAAGGGCACCTTGGGACTTTGGGGCATGTTGTTGTCCTGGTGGCTCAAGGGACCCTGGTTTGTTTCCAGCCTCGGGTGACTGTTTGCGTGGAGTTTGCACATTCTCCCCATGCCTGCGTGGGTTTCCTCTGGGTGCTCCGGTTTCCTCCCACAGTCCAAAGATGTGTAGGTTAGGTGAATTGGCCATGCTAAGTTGCCCATAGTGTCTGGGTGCGATGCTCTTCGGAGAGTTGGTGTGGACTCGGTGGGTTGAATGGCCTGCTTCCACACTGTAGGGATTCTATGAAAATTTCAGTTTTAATAATAAATGGAGAGAGGTCTGAAAAGGAGGGTGAATGAGTCTGGGTGAATTCAATATTTGTCAATTGAAGTAGACCAATAAAAATACAGAGAGGGAAATAAAGTCTGGAATGAGCACAAGAAATAGCAAACAAAAAGCAAGAAAAAAAGCATAAAACATTATTCAAAGTTTCTAGAACAATTTGTAATCTGAAAGTACAGTATGAGACACCACACTTGTAATTGTTTGTTTTCTGGATAGAAGAAGTCAGTTGGGAGTCACTGGGAATCATTGTTGCAATCACAAGGCAACTTATGAGATTAATTACTGCACATAACCATGAAATGCTTAATAGTCAATTAATCTATAGATATAAGAAATTCATTAAAGTGATGGGAAGATGCCATTTTTTTCAAAGCTACCAGCAAAGCAGCATAAATCAATCGACAATTTATGATGAATTGCAATTTACCAGCTATCTCAATCTCATTAGAAATTGCTTTAATACCAATGAGCGTCATATACGCAAGATTACTTTCTCAGTAATGAGAAGAGCCTCTAATGTAAAATAAGACAGAAAATAATGGAAATGATCTATGGATCAGCCAACATCTGTTGAGAAAGTTAATGTCTCAAAGTAGATCCAACCCAACATTCAGTTTTCAGCATTTGCAGTAAATGAATAATGGGTTTGTACTGAGACTCCACCAATGGAGGTTGGCTGCAGATGGGACTTGGCAATGTCCTGAACTTGTTCAGCAAAGACCAATCTCACCATTGTGGTTCAAAGCCTTATTATTCAGTACTTGTCACAAGACTCCTGTTAGGGGTCCTCCATGTTTCTCATTCTTCATTTAAAGAATGTCTGCTCAGGAAGTCTGCTCCACATGGAGCACTGAGATAGAAGGTGTACAGTAGGTGCAGATCATTATGAAGTGGCAAATTCTTTTAATGTAAAAGTGCTTTAATCCTTATTCTTTATATATTGTTGCATTTGTTCTGATATCCCCAGTCCTTGCATCTTAAAGTTCTTTCAGCCCTCAATCCGTGTATTCTACTCCTTGGATGTAGTACGTTGCCATATTCTCAGTCCTTTTATTTTATTGACTCATGGGATGTGGGCTAGGCCAACGTTTATTGCCTAGAGAGCAGTTAAAAGTCAACCGCATTTATGTGTGTCTATGGGTCACATGTATGCCAGACTGGGTAAGGATGGCAGATTTCCTTCCCTGAAAGACATTAATGAACCAGATGAGTTTTCCTGACAAATGACAATGGCGTCATGATCACCATTAGGCCCTTAATTCCAGATCCTTTATTGAATTGAAATTCCACCATCTGCCATGTCAGCTTTGAACCAGGACCCCGAGAATGTTATTTGAGTTTCGGATTAATAGTCTAGCTACAATACCACTTGGCTATAGTCATGGTTAGTTCTGTTAATCACAATCTTTGCATGTTAATTATACTCTGTTCTGTTATTTCCCAGTCATTATGCATTGCAGTACTTGTGCACAAAAATGCTGAGGTATAACTGGAACTTGTGGGTGTTTTAGACATCCTTATTCTGTGCCAGTCAATACAATGGTTAAGTGGACTCTGCTGGTGTACTTTTCAGAGAAGAATGGGGATTCCCCCTACTATTATGAAAACTAAAATGTTATTTTTTATAGGAACTAGTTTTTAAATTGTTTACCGCTTGCATCATACAGTGACAACACATTCAGGTTGAGGGAACATCTAAGTAAGGGTGGGGATCACTGACGATGGAAAAGCCTAAAGCTGAAATGTTTAGCACAGATAAAGTTGTTTCTAGGTTACAGCAGGAGTACAGACTCTTAATCTGGCCCAGTCAGTATGTGGGAAGCACTGAGGACATGATGAGAGTTTGAGATTGTGGATATCACAATAATTCAGATATTTGACAGAGAATTTCCATGAGTTAGTATTCTGTTTTGCCAGGTTACTTGCTAAGGGTGACATACTCAACACCCAAAAGGTGCTGGGCTCTAAACAGCTGCAGAATCCACAATTAACAGATCTCCTTGCCACTGCAGTGTAATCTTGGAGAACTGAAGGTACTCCCGGATACCTGGACAGTCAGATTCCCTCCAAAAGGTAAGCTTTCTTTTGACTGAACTGAAAATATCATTTTCTATTTTTAAGGTTTATTGATTATACGGAATAGCAGAAGGCATAAATCCAAATTATTTTCATTCATTTACTTTTGTTGAGAATGCATAATACTGCTTAAAACATTACAAATTCCGAGGATAAGAACAGGTTGCAAACCAACCCCATTACTTCTGCTGGGAGAAGGTATTTACTGCTTTTGTTTTGGCTTGAAATTTGAAATGTTAGGCATTTTCCCTTGCAGTTTTGAAGTTTGAGAGTCAAAATCCACCCTTCCCACAGGAATACAGTTTTGGACATGGCCTGAAAAGCTTCTATAACAACAGGTAAATGAATGCAGAGTCTTCCGACCATTAGCTTGGATAAATCATGAAACCAAATAACATGTCCCTCATACCCAATAACTCTACAGGGGATACCTCTGTGTGTTGGATAATTCGATGTCCAAATAGTTCTGTGGTGTACGGCTCTGTACACTTGGATAATTATTCTTGTCGAATAGCTTTTTGTACTCCTGTTCAATTTTCGCTATAAATCAACTGCTTCCTGATCTTGAGTTAGGGCTTTGAGCTGTTCAGGCTGTTCTGGTCCAAGTCTGTTACTTGCTCAGGTTGGTTACTTGCTTCAGTAAGCTAGAGTCTCAGCTCTATTAATTGTTTTTTTGTAGAGTCACTAATTATTTAGATTGCATGAAGAAGCACAGGCAGAACAATCATGAAAGATTTAATCCTTTAATGTTCTCAATAGAAACCCAATGACTGGCTAATTATTCATTAGAACAATGTAATAAATAATTTAATAGGTAATAATTGGCATCGAGCATGTTGGATTCTGGCTAAGAGCCCTCGAAATTAGTAAAGGTGTTTGCCAATGAAGATGGTTATAGATAGTTGCTGTTCACTCTATTGGACAGTTACTGCCTGGGCATGATCCTTTTCCTGGGAAACTTCCTTGGAGCTTAGATTCCAGTCGTTCAGCAGCACAATCATGATGTTGTTAAGATCCATGGTGTGGATATCTTCAGTTGTCAGACAAGAAGGTTTTATTTTCAGTGGATATCCCAATGAGAAAACTTTATGAATAACACGTGCTTCTTGTGTGCTATTTTATATAAACACTAAAACAGTTGAAATGAATGTTAAAAACAAACAGCAGAATAGTAACAGGAATTTGGTGTAAGTGTGCTAACTGTTTGTGCCAAAATTTTGAATTTGTACAGTTAAGTAACGTGATACAGACTTGATAAAAATGCATAGTGTGACACCCAGCTGGGTCTTTCTGTCAATAGCTGATCCTTCCTATTCCAAAATCACTTATTAAAAATAAATTAGATTGTAATAAATACACAACTCAATAAATAGGAAAGATTTGCATTTATTTAGTGCCTTTGGTCATCTCAAAGTGCTTTATGCCCAATTTAATATTTAAATGAAGTCTGACCACTGGTATAATTTTTGCCAATTTGAAGACTACAAGATTCCATAAATTATAATGGAATAATGATCAGATAATTTGTTTAAGATATTGTTTGGAACCCTGTGGTCAGAACATCAGGCTGACTGGCTTTCCAGCAGAAAATTACTAAACTACTACAGACTTGAAAGAAACTTTTTCAGACTATGAGCTTTAGTCAACTATTGAGAGATTTTTTTTTGTAAAAAAAAAATTGGGACCTAACAAAAATACAAACATTGACTTTACACCTTACTTAGAATCTAGAATTTACTAATAAATAAATATAATATAACATTGAACTTAAATGTATATTCAATATGATAAATATAGCACTAACATTAAGAAACTCACAATATCTTCATTTTGCTTTACAAAAATAACTATGAGAGCTGTTGGGTTTTTAAATAAAAAAAACTCACCTAATTTACCAGTAACCTTCAGGGAGGGACCTGTGACATCTGCTCAGTCTGGCCTATACGTAACTTCATTCTCATACCAAGAGTTGATTCTTAATAAGCTCGCAGCAACTCAAGATTGCCAATGAGTCTTGCCTTGTCAGTATCACTTACACCCACAGGAAAAATAAATTAATCTACTTTTATTCTTAGATATTTCAGTCATTTACGTCCAGGGGAAACACAATGTGCTAAATTGTCCTGAATCTCTGATTCTAAATATTGCTCTTCAAAGGAGGAACCTGTACACTTAGTGAGTTTTGTCAAAAAGGTTGATTCATCATATGCTATATACTTTTAAATTGCTGGTCGGTGAAATTGTGAAATTGTGTGTGTTTTTTGTAGATCTCCCTCTGGCGTGATATCATGAACTGGTAGGGCTGCCTACAAATCATGTCACAGGGGAATCTCTATGTCAAATACCTGCTCTAAGGCTGTTTCTCTAATGCATGCAAAACATAAAGCATGTAGTGAGAAACAATACTACAATATGGACATCGCCTCTGTATCCTCTGCCTGTGCTTATCCTAATACTGTTTCCACAGTGCCATGGTGTTTGGCAGTTGAATTCAACATCCTTACCAAGTTACTATATTTTTTAGCTTTGCTTACCATCCATATTGATCCCTCAAGCCCATTTCTTCCATAATCTGTAAATTATTTTATCATGAACACCATTCAAATTATTGAATCTATTACAAAGATTTTTACAAAGATTCTCCTTGCTAACAAGATTAATGATATATAATTCTATATCAATCTACCACTTCATCTTAAATTATTCAACTCTGATCAGTAGCCAACCTTAACTTGAAGCTTTTATTTCCTCAGTCATTCAGAAATTATTATGTTCCTCATGCCATTCAACAATCTCCATCTACTCTTTTGCCTTATAATGTTTCTATCACACGCCAGTTTTAAAAGTGATTCTGCTTTAGTGGTTTCTGCTGGAAATCTGCTATTCTGAGGAAGGCAGTGAAGAAATGAATCTTTGCTTGTGGCTGCATGATATTCAATTCAGATGTTCTAACATTTTCAATCTTCTTTCCTCATGTAGTTTCTTAGGGTTTGAGATGTTCGACACTTCATTTCTCTTTTTTTAGTCTGAGAGTGCAGTTAGTATCGAAAACCAGTCTTCTTACCCGAGATTTTCATGTTCTGCTATCGTACTTGTTGTTGTTTTCTGAACGCTGCTCAGTATATCGATGTCCTTTTGAAGATGAACCACCTAAAAATCACAATAAGCCGTGGTCCCATCTGTACTACCAGCGCTGTGTATTGGATTCTGTTCTCTACATCCTTACATATAGGATAACTGTGTTCCAGGCAGTAATGTTGACTGGGTAGCAAGGAAGAGTAATATGTATGCATTGTCCAATCAACACTGGAACATAAAATTAAGTACAGTCACCTAATAAGTTAATGGGTGTCTGCTAATGATGGTGGAAAGGGAAGATTTTTATGTGATTATTAATTGATTAGTGAAATTATCCAGTCAATATAAAATTCTTACCAATAAAGTGAATTTAGTATTAAAATGTGTGTTGGCGATATTTGATTTGAAACATTGCTGTTTTCACGCCATGTAACTTATTAAAGTGAAGATTCATAGAGAGATAAGACTTTCAGTTATCTGTAAAATTTAATATATTCCATTGGAGGGACAACAATTGACTGAGAACATACTGTATGCATTTGGCATTCTGAAAGACATGAACAATATATGCGCAATCAGCTTGTTGAATTCACCTTGGGGCAATAAAAAATAAAGTAGAGATTGGGAGGATGTTGTTTTCTCCCCTAGTAATGGATATTAGTAGTTAGTTTTCTATCAAAACTAATTAATACTGTGCTAATTAATCCAGTAAGTGCTGTAACAATTTGTAGGTGAGAACTACATCTACATTATCAGATACATCATGCAATGTTAAATGCTGTGTTGCCTGTGTGATCTGTAGGCTGTAACTGGGCACAGTTGAACAATTTAATTGCTCTTTGAAAGCTTGGAGATTTTGCTGAACTTTTTTTTGAAAGTAGCAGGAAAAAGTTAGCTTATTATACTCTTGAAAGTTTTACCTTTATTCATCTTTCTCTGGAAATGGAAAATAAACTGGAAAAAGTTTATTCCAGTGGAAATTATAACTTACACATTATTAGTCGTGCTATTACCCAAGCATATTCATATGATGTCCCTTCCTGTAATATTACAGTTACAGTGATTAAAGTATACAAGTCCATTTTACACAGTGAGTTATGATCTCGAATGCATTCCCTAAAATGATTGTTTTACACAATAGGATATTATGATTTGGACTCTTTGAAAAAGCATTCAGAATATTACAAAAAACCCAGAAGTAACACACAAAAGGAAATTGGATAAATACTTGAAAGAGATAGAGAGCAGGGCAGTGGGATAACTGAATAGTTATAACAGCAATACTATGCTGAATGGCCTTCCTCAGTGCTGTATCATTTTAGGATTCTGTGATTTTATTATGCTTAATTTAAAATAGCTGCCGAAGGTAGTTCATACAGGTGCCTTATTTGTTTGGTCAGTAATATTGCCATTGGTAATTTTAAACATTGTGCGTGGTTCGTTTGAACAGGTGAGCCAGATTTTTAAATCTCCTGATTTCTGTTCTTTTGAATTAAATTCTTGTTTCCTAATTAGTTCCTACTCATGGGCTTTTCATATTGAAACAAAAGACAAGTTTGTTGAATAATAAAAACAATTGAAATGATAAACTATCATGCTATCAACTGCTGTTCTATCCAACTTCAGCAATTGAAGGTTTTTAACTACATCCCTCCTGAAGTTCCTCTTACTACACTGCCCTCTGGTGACGATGCCTTGCTATAAAAATACTGATGTATTTAAATTCTGATAATCTCGCACTGTCGCTGGGGTTCACTGGTAGTGTCCCTACCACTGAGCCATGAGGGTTGTGTTCAAGTCCCTATCTGTTCCACACGTGTGTAATAACATCTCTGATCAGGTTGGCTAGAAAATATCACATTGTCACCGTAAAAGTGTTAACATTGGAAAGGTCAGGGTGCCATTTCAAATCAGCAATATTGGCACCACTTACAAACTCATTTAAATGCCTGAAAGAGAAAACAATTTGCACTTCAGAAACTGTTATGGACAATTTTTAATTGGAGGCGTGGGTGGGTGCCTGTGAGTTATTAATCCTTAAATTAAATTCACAATTAAAAAGCCTATGGTGGTTATTGTTGGGAATTTCCTACATGCCAAATAGGCTACATTTTTGTGGCATCTTTTCATTTTTCTCTCTTCCCGTCATGAAGGTGTGTGTGATAATACAGATCAATTACATTGCCAGTAAAACTAGGGCTGTACACAAGTAACGATATGTAAGCTTTGGCGCTATCTGCTGGCAGATTTTTTGATTTGGATTCTTCCTGGTGTATATGGCTCAGAGGCACATTGCAAGGTGCATTTATCCACAGAGCCGCTGGAGGTCACAGTCATAAATCAGAATGAGTCACTTATTATAAGTAGCAGTGAGAAAGTTTGTAATAACTGTGAGTGCATGAATCATTTAATGACATTGATTCCATTCACGTTGTATCTTTTTATGAGGGTGTTTGGTGTTGAACAAATCATAGCAAGTGTCATTGCATGGAATGCTGTATTGTTAGTGTTATGATTGAACTGCAATTCTCTGTCAGAAGACTTCTAAAAAGGCAACATATTGACTTTATTCGAGAAATTATGATCTGTATTTGTCAAATCAGGAATTTGTCAAATTTGGGCTCTGAGTATGAAGGGACACATTGTGCAGTTTGGATAAAGAACATACACAGGATATTCACCATTCAGGCATTCTGCATTAGGACAAATGGACCTGGAATACTCAACATGAGACCAATTGACATAGGGAGATATCTGGGCAATTTTCCACATTGTTGGATGGTTGCCAGCATTGTAGCTGCACTAGAGCAGCTTCATACAGATGTGGCTAGTTCTGGAGAACAGAATGCTGTCAGCAATTTTACTGAAGATGTATGCTGCAGAAGTAGCCACACTTCTAGCCTGGATGTTGTTGCACAACGCCAACACTGACATTTATCCAAAAATGTGAAAAATTGCCTGGATGTGACTTGTGCAAAAAACGTATGACAAAGACCCAGCCAAATATCTCCCTGTCAGACCACTTTCAGTCAACAGTAAAGTGATGGAGGGAGCCATCTACAGTGCTACCAAATGGCACACATAAAGGAACAACCTATTCATCGACACTCACTTTAGGTTCTGCTGGGCCCAATCAGCTCTTTACCTCATCGTAGCTTTGGTTCAAAAAGGACAAAAGAACTGAATTCCAAAGGTGATGTGAGAGTGACTGTCTTTGACATCAAGGCAACATTTGACCAAATGTAGCAGCAAGGTGCACCAGCAAAAGAGAAAACTGGAGTCAATGGGAATTAGGGTGAAATTTTTCACAGGTTGGAGTCATTCCTAGTGCATAGGAAAATGTTGGTTTACCTGGAGCTCAATGATTTCAGCCTAAGTACATCTCAGCAGGGATTCTTCAGGGTGGTATTCTAGGCCAAAACATCTTCAGTTGCTTTATCAATGACTTTCTCTCCATTATGAGGTCAGACGTGGAGATGTTTGATGGCTAGAATGATGTTAGATTTGGTGGCAGGCCTTGCAGTAGGTCATTACGATGTCTTTGTCAGCACCTCCCAAACCTACGAAGCACACCACTCAGAAGAATAAGGACAACAGCTGCACAAGAACACCATCTCTTAAAAGTTCCCCATCATGTCATGCACCAATCTGATCCATATCATTGTTGTTTCATTGGCATTAAGTCAAGATTCTGGAACTAACTATCAAACAGCATTGTAAGATAACCTTCAGACTGCAGAAAAGAATGACCACCACTATCCTCTCAAGGGCAAGAGAATGCCAGTGATCCCTACATCCCTAGAATTTATATCTACTTGGAATGACTCTGATGGGAACAGTGATTAACAGTAGTTAGGCTGTTTTAGGCTGACCTCTAGTTTATTTGATATATCTTGGGTCACTCACTCTAGGACATCACCTGTACCTGACTGTTAACTGTACCTGAGGCAGCTCTGATGGGGTGTGTTTATTCATGGTGTAAACTTTAGTTACTCGAACTAGAATTATCTCAAATTTGGCTTTAATTGGAATAATCTTTGGAGACAGAATTCATCTCAATGCGAACTTGTAGTTTTCACAAACTATTTGTGGAATCTTTCCCTCAGCAGTGAACTGATGATAAGGGAAAGACTTAAATTTGTTTGTTAGATTTTGATGGCAACTGTCAAATCCAAATGGATGTCCACATTGACTGATGATCTCTTTAAAAAGCAGAACTGGCTCAATGGGTTGAAAATGTAATGTTGTGGTTTGTTACATTTATGGATGCAGGCATAATGTTCAGGAAAGTCAATTGTTGAAGAGTCGGACTTACACTTGCTCCGACACATCACTACAAACCTCTAGCATAAAAAAATGCTGGAAATACTCAGCATGTAGGACATCATCTGTGGAGAAAGAAAAGAGTTAATGTTTCAACTTGATGACCTTTGGTCACAACCTCAGTTATTTACTCTAAATAATGGTCTAAACTCTGGATTTGCCCTCATCTCTGTCCCTCCTTTAAGTCTTTCTGTTAAATACTTCTCACAATCCAGCTTTTATTCATCTGCCCTGATATCATCTGATGCAGATTTATCAGATTTTGTTCTCCTGTGAAGTACTTTGGGATGCTTGTTGACATTAAAGGTGCTTTTTAATACAAGATGTTGGACTCTGAGGTTTTAATTACTGACTTAATTTAGAAATATTTTTGCATTTTTAGGAATGCTGTCACCAAATTCTGCCTAAGAAAGGAAAAGGATAACGCTAATACGCTGGGACAAGTGTTTCGAAAGTGAACAACATGGCAAACAAAGGATCCTACGATCTCCAGAAGGTTAGATATTAACAAGGTCATGATTTAACATATTGACTGTCTCATTGACAGTAGGAAAGCCCTGTCCTTGAAATGAGAAAGGCACAGCCTTTGAAGAAATGTACTGGAAGCTTTTCCATGTATTTTGGATCTGTTGAAGAAGCAATGCTCAATACATTGCTCTGTGCATATCTCTTTTGTAACAGATGAGAGCAGGTCTCTAGTATTGATTGTAGGTGATCTTGCCAGGTGATCTAGTCAACAATTTTTTATCCTTGTGGTTGGAGCTGTGTCCTCCCAGATTGGATGGTATTGTGTACTTTTGTCTGAGAGCCAAATGTGAATGCCTTGACAAAGTTTTTTGGTCACCAATGACAAAGGGAGTAAGTGTGAGGACTTAGGTGCAATTTATGGAAGAGAATAATGACAGAAGGCACAACTGTGGATAAAGCAACAGCAGGTATCAACATTATATGGTGGTAGCTCTACAAGTGTGACCATGTCGGAGCATAATGTGAAAAGTGTGTTGCCAGCACAATAGTGAACATGGCACGGTGAAGGTGTAAGTGTGAGAATGATATGGAACAAGAAGAAGTGTGAGGCTGGTATGGCACAAGAGACACCATACCACTGAGGTGAGGTTTAGCCCAGTGGAACAGTCTAATCAGACTAATTTAAAATAGAACCCATTCTTTTGTGTTCTTGAGTTTCATGTTCCCACGTGTATTTACCTGACATTTAAATCAATGAAATAAAGCTTCCAGTCACTCACTGTAACTAGGTCCCTTTGATTTGTCTCCGAATCTGTAATATTCTGTTGGCCACATGGTTTGCTATCAGGAGTGAATATAACAGTAGATAGTGATTTCATTTATAAATGGTACAAATAAAGGGACTGTAGTTCAAAAGTAAACTTTCTGAGAGCTCTTGATCAAACCTATGAACGCATAAGCAGCTTTGTTTGGGTGCGGTTGGACAATTAAATTCCTGTAATAGCAGTTCAGGAATAGTGCAACTGGCTGAATTTGACAGACCTGAAGACAACATGTGGGTAGATTAACTCACTTCTGGTAGGTGGATTGATATTTGAAGTATATCAGCAATGGTAGGAATTCCTCCACCTTTTACTGCCAGTGTTCGTCACACCCACAACATTAGCAGCCACATCAACTCCTTCCCCATACTAACCCACTCAGAGTCATTGAGTCACACAGTACGGAAACAGAACCTTTGGTCCAACTCATCTATGCCAACCAGGTTTCCCAAACTAAACTAGTCCCATTTGCCTGCATTTGGCCCATATCCCTCTAAGCCTTTCCTATCCATGTCAGGCTTAAGGATCAGATGTTGCTCACCTACCAACCCACCACCCCGGTCAAAGATCAGAGCTCTTCACTTTCCCAGGGTAAAGTGATCAGACTCCTGGCTTCCTGCTCCCACCGCGCCCAACCCATTAGATTGGTGCTTGATCCAAACTGATCCTGTACCACCTTCTCCACTTCTCCTTGCCCAAGTGGCATCTGAACCTGCCACTCGGGCTGAATTCTGGCCATGATGTCAGTCATACTGTGGGAATTAAAACTTCACCATGTGCCGAGACATTCCACCTTCCAAGTTTCCTGCACGTTCCTGATTCCCCAAACTTCAAATTTGTCTAAAGGTCAAATTGCCCTTTAGTGTCTGATATACTATAATACTTTCAGAATCTAATGGTGTGAGTTGGTCTCCAACAGGATGTTTTACCAGATATGTCAATGCTTATGATAGCTCCCACACTTAAAAAACTGGGTGTGGATATCATGGTATTGAAGAATTCAACAGACATTTATTTCAACTAACTTTTATGTACAAACATTGCATTCCTCAGCCACAGAGGTATCTAGACTACTATTATGCTATGCGGATACAACAGGGGGCATGCTTCCAGTAGAGTGTCATGATTCAAGTGATCAGAGGCAAGGTGGAATATGGTCACATGATATGATATAGTGATTGTATCAGGAGCATGTCTATTAAAGGCATACTGACACACTGACCATGAGATGTAACACAAGATCCAGCTCAGCAACATGTAGGGAACACAAGGGAACATAACTACAGTATCTAGAGTAGTATAGACCATAACTATAACTTAGCTGACTTGTCAATATAGACTGTCAAATTCTGCCAATACCTGGAATTATGTTTTATTAGCAGTGACAGTCATTTATGTTAGTTTTGCATTGACGTGCTCAACATATAGATTATAAACGGAATAGACATTCCAGCAACAGCAACAAACATCAATCACTAGAATACAATGAAGGTGACTACTAGAATGTTTGCTTTCATTAATGCTTTGAGCATTGGAATCTGGAGGATCTTAGGAAATCATATTTAAAACGTCTTTCGACTAAGGTTGTATTACTTTGCCAATTTTCTTATAACTGGGAAAGTTCAACCTCATCTGGTGGAATACAATTGGCTCCCAATAAGGAAATTTCAACTGAACATGGTAGGAGTAGTTTCAAATTGTGGAAAGCTAATTCCAAAGCTAATCAACATGAACACAGAATAATTAACCTGGTATTCTGGCTGTCAATAGAAGGCTAATATCAATTTGTTTTCAAGATTATTGAAGCAAAACGAAAAGGAAGGAGACCTGGGTATACTGTATCACAAGAAATTTCCTGGCTCCTTGAACTCATCTGCAATACACAAATTATCATGCTGTCTGCAGTTCACATGTGGATATGAACATATGATTTTCGGACAAATTTCTTCACATTCCAATCCTCAAATCTTGATGTCTCGCCACCTGTGCCTTTTTGTACAGTTAAGACAGTTAAGTGATGTTCCTTGTTTTGCTTAAGGCCAGAAAGGATCCTTATTCTCCCAGAGCCATTAGAGGGTACTTCAGTGAAGAAGAGACAGATGACTTGGACAGAACTTTGGAAGTGGCAAGTTTTGAGGATGTTGACTTTGACCCTACAGAGAATAGATGGAATGATGATGATGATGATAGTAATTCCGATTGTGAGTAGACCATATATATTCTAAAATTCTTGAAATAGGTTCAACTGGTGACTGAATTGCAGATAATTGTTAGTTAGCAAATGATACAAAAATAAAATTTTACAGTTAATTATAACAGTAAGGGAAAACCTGCTTTAATATTGAAGTGAAAATTTAGCAAAGAACTTATAATATCTAGGACATAGATGGGTGCCAGAGTAGCTAATTAGCCCTATTAAACTGCTTCACCAATAATTAAGATCTTTGCTGATCCAATGCCTTAACTTTATGTTCCCACATTATCTCTGCACGTCTTAAATCCCTTAGTACCCAAAAATCTATCAATCCTTGTCTTGGATACACTCAATGACGGATATGGTTAATGAATCTTTGAACAAATTTCTCTTCATTTCAGTCTTAAATGACTGATGCTTTATTCTGTCTGTGACTCCTAACTCTATGTGTCCCAGCCAGGGGAAACATCCTCCCATCATCTAGTTTATTAAACCCTCATGTATTCTACATGTATCAATTAGATCACCTTTCATTCTTCTAAACTGCAGGGAATAGAGGGCTAGATTGTTGGACAATCCTTGCAGGCAAGGAATCAGTCGAATGAACATTCTAAGGTAAATTATGAAAAAGGGTCCCCACTCGAAACGGCAGCTTTCCTGTTCCTCTGATGCTGCCTGGCCTGCTGTGTTCGTCCAGCTCCACACTGTGTTATCTCTGACTCCAACGAGTGCAGTTCTTACCATCCCTAAGGTAATTATAGCCTTCCTTGGTTAAGGAGAACAACACTGTGCACAGTACTCCAAATGTGGTCTCACCAAATCCCTGTAGAATTGTCGTAACAGCTCTTTGTTCTTGTACTCCAATCCTTCTGTAATAGGTGAGCATCATATTTAATTTCTTCAGAGATAGTAGGAACTGCAGATGGTGGAGAATCTGAGACAACAAAGGTGCAGAGCTGGATGAACACAGCAGGCCAAGCAGCATCATAGGAGCAAAAAGGCTGACATTTCGGGCCTAGACCCTTCATCAGAAAAATTTAATTTCTTAACTGTTTGCTCTATCCACATGTTAGCTTTCTATGATTTATGTATAAAGATACCCAAGTCCCTCAAAACAACAGCACTTTCTAGTCACTCTCATTTAAAAAACTGGTTCTTTTTACTTCATGGAGATCTAATTTATTATATTCCATCTATCATATTCTTGTCACCCAAACTTGCCCTTAGCCCTTTGCAGACATCATTTATCCTTCTCACAGCTGACTTTGCAGTTTTGCCTTGTTCTGTCAGTAACTTCAATATATTGCACTCAGTCCCTTCATCTTGCAGGTTGTATTAATGTGAGGTACAAACACTGATCCTGGCTGTACTGTACAAGTAATAGCCTACTAACCAGAAAATGCCCTGTTTGATAGCCAGTTCCAAATCCATGCCCACCCGTTATCTCCAGTCACATGAGTCTTGATTTTGTTTAATATACTTTTGAGTGTCACTTTATCAAATGCTCGTTGAAAATTAAAATAAACTACATCCATTGCTTTCCAACTTATCTGCCCAACTGGTTACAATCCCAAAAACCTCAAAACGGATTTGTCAAATAGAATTTCCTTTTCATAAATCTATTTTGACTCTGCTTACTCGTTTATAATTTTTTAACTGTCCTGTTATCCTAATGATAGATCCCAGCATTTTCTCTATTATTGATCAATTGCCTTATATTTTTCTGTCTTCTCAGCAGTACTTCACTACTACTCCCCAACAGACCTGCCATGCCCCAACAATTCCAATGCCTTTCTTAAATAGTGCAGTGTTATCTTCCAATCCATGGGAACTGTTATAGAAGCTAAGGAATTCTGAAAGATCAAGAAGAAATGAGCAGTCATCCAAGTGTTAACAAAACCTTTTCCTCCATCTCCATTAAGAGAAAAATAAAGATTTTGGGCAAATGGTAGCCAAAGTGCTTGCTCATGACCGGTATGTTAATCAATCACTGTAAGGATAGATCCAACCAAAAGAAACATCTGATCAGTTATCAGCCACTTCC